CTACGACAGTCACAGATATTGCCAAGATGAGTTTGTTGTCATGGCCATATCCTGGAACATACTTAGTGAGCTAAAAAAAAGAATGAAAATCATATTTACAAAACAAAGAGATAAAAAGAACGTACTAAATCTATTGTGTTACGTAATCTTACTATTAAGCATTTTGTTCTACAATTTATCTTGTGTGTTAGGTCTGATTTATTCTCTGAGCAAAGTGGGAGATCACTGTCTTGGCCAAAGTTACATGAGCAAGACAAGATATGGACTAGGAGCCTCTGGTCTTCCTGCTTGGGCACTTTAATGGCATAGGCTAAATGATGGAAAATTCGGGGTCTCCTGTTTCAGCAGTTGTCCTCACCTCAGGTGACTCCTGGTCTTTCTGTTCACCCTGGGCTTCTGGGCTCTCACTGATGTAGTTCTCACTTTTCCACTGGTCCGGATCCCATTCTGCCTTGGATGCCTTTGCTTCCTGTCGCTCACTGAGAAGCTTCATCAGGAGGCCTGTTCTGGAGATGAGCTTGGCACAAGCCATTTGTACATAGGGCTCAGAGCAGTCCGTTTTCAAAGACCGGAGAACATGAGAAATGAGCCTTCTCATGTCATTGTTGGACATGAGGGATTGTAGGTGCTGGTTCAGCTGCAGTTCAAATTGATCACCTGGGAATGAAAGCGATGGGTGACTGAAGTCTTTGTGCTTGGGGGGTAAGTCAGTCTCCCGGCTGACGTATTCCCATTGTGCTTCACTGGATTGTTTAGCAGTTGGCACTGACCTTAATGCAGTCACAGGAGAATCTGCAGCAGGATTCTTGTGCTGCTCTGAACCCTCTTGATGCTCTGACCCCTCAAAGATGCTCTGATCCCTCACTTGTTTGACGTGCCTGTTCTTTCTGCCTCTTCGCCCCTTGAGGACTCTGTACGCTCTCTGCAACCTTTCCCCTATACTCTCAAGTTTTGCCGGGATGTCCTCCTGTGGTTGGGCAGTTTCTAATTTCTTTAAAAATAGTTGGTGTTTAACTTTGGGTCCTAAAGGACTAGACTGCATAAGCTTACATGAGCAAGACAAGATATGGACTAGGAGCCTCTGGTCTTCCTGCTTGGGCACTTTAATGGCATAGGCTAAATGATGGAAAATTCGGGGTCTCCTGTTTCAGCAGTTGTCCTCACCTCAGGTGACTCCTGGTCTTTCTGTTCACCCTGGGCTTCTGGGCTCTCACTGATGTAGTTCTCACTTTTCCACTGGTCCGGATCCCATTCTGCCTTGGACGCCTTTGCTTCCTGTCGCTCACTGAGAAGCTTCATCAGGAGGCCTGTTCTGGAGATGAGCTTGGCACAAGCCATTTGTACATAGGGCTCAGAGCAGTCCGTTTTCAAAGTCCGGAGAACATGAGAAATGAGCCTTCTCATGTCACTGTTGGACATGAGGGATTGTAGGTGCTGGTTCACCTGAAGTTCAAATTGATCACCTGGGGATGAAAGCGATGGGTGACTGAAGTCTTTGTGCTTGGGGGGTAAGTCAATCTCCCGGCTGACGTATTCCCATTGTGTTTCACTGGGTTGTTTAGCAGTTGACACTGACTTTAATGCAGTCACAGGAGAATCTGCAGCAGAATTCTTGTGCTGCTCTGAACCCTCTTGATGCTCTGACCCCTCAAAGATGCTCTGATCCCTCACTTGTTTGACGTGCCTGTTCTTTCTGCCTCTTCGCCCCTTGAGGACTCTGTACGCTCTCTGCAACCTTTCCCCTATACTCTCAAGTTTTGCCGGGATGTCCTCCTGTGGTTGGGCAGTTTCTAATTTCTTTAAAAATAGTTGGTGTTTAACTTTGGGTCCTAAAGGACTAGACTGCATAAGCATGGCAGTTTTTTCTTTCTTCTTAATCTCATCAATTTTTTCATCAGTTTCCGTATCTAACAAATTTTTGAGAAAATGGAGCTTCCCCAATTTATTTGTGTAGGGTGAATTGTTGGATTCAGGTATAAGAGAGGGGCTATTTGTGTTTTTTTTCAAATAACCCGTGGGCATATCTTCATCCTGTACATTTGAAAAAAGCAGCTTAATGAATGGTAATAATGTTGATTGTATAACTTCTAGGTTTCCCTCTGGTAGATAAGAAAATAGGTAATTTAGTGCATGTATAATTTCACTTTTATCATTTAGGTCTAGCTCCTCATTCATATTTACCCAGTTCATGCCAGTTTTGTCTGAGGATGCCTTCTCTGGCTCAATCATCAGCTCAGTGCTCATGTTCTTCTTCCGAGCTTTTAATATCTTCATGAATTTTCCTTCTGGATTCTTTAGGGATGCCTCTTCAGCTGTCAAAAGAGAAGAGACTGCTTTTGATAAGGAAGACTCATAGAGCAGCTTTCTGTCAGGCCACAGCTATACACCCCAGTCAAATAAATTAGGAGTCACCCATTTAGAGAGGAGGAAAATAAACCAACACTTAAATCTATGAAATAGCAACAGCAAAAGGAGAAAAAGACTTCATTTGAAAAAGTGGCCGCCTACTCAGAACATTCCATTGAGATTATTCCATTGCTCCCCAATGGCCAATTGCCCAGTACTCATGCCCAAGGCTGGAAGACAAATATTCCCCCAGTCAGCTGGCCTCTCTGCAGACCTTCCATGTCTCCTCATGTTCAAGTGCCCCATACTGTCCTGCCTCATGTGCAGAGCAAATGCAAGTCTTCCTCTGTCCCCCTCTTTAGTGTGCTTTTGGTCTCATAGCCCCCATAACAGAAGGCTCTACACAGGAAAAAACAATATGTCTATTCTGGTTCTTTCTTTAAATTTGGGCAGGGATCTGGGGTATAAGTTAAATTTCTAATTTGCCAACTTGTATGCTTATGTGGAATGTTCAATAAATGTGTGGAATAAATGCAGTTTCTGGATAAATATTACTAGAGGTCCTAAAATGCAGAAGAAAAAAAGCAACTTTGTTAGAGGCCTAGTACTTCAGCTTCTTTTCATTTCTAGTATTTCCAGCTATATTTGGGGAACCACCCAAAGCTTCCAACTGCATGAAGTCAAGTGTACCACTGTGGAGCTGAGTTTCTTTCCAGAATAAAAGTATTTTTGGTGGTGGTGAGGGTCAGAAGAGGAGGGAAGGATCATGAGAAAGGAGGAACATGGGACAGAAGACCCAGGCACTAGGGTACAGCATGTAACACCTCTGATCTTGCTTTTCCTCATCTGTAAAAGGAGATTTAAAATGCTTGTTCTGCCAACTTGTAGGGAAGAAGGAAATAATTTAATTGGTGAAAAAGCATTTTGAAAAACAAGCAGCACTGTCTTTATATATGTAGCAATAAGTTATTATTTATTATTTGCCCCAGATCACTGGTAGAGACCTGTATTCAAGCCATCTGGACATAAGAGCAGTCACATTTGGGAAGTCATATAGTTAGTGCTGATAATAGAAAAACACTTAAAAAGCACCTGAGTGTTCTGTCGATAGAAATGCTTGAGACCCAGAGCAAGTTCAGAGTTAGACGGTCTAAGAAGGGAAGAACCTTATGTTCCATTAGAGGGGGCAGGTAGCAACTTCTACTTATGGAACCAGAAACTCTAAGCCTCCAAATACCATAGCATCACTTTTGCTTTCTTATAAAATTACAAAAACAAACAAACAAAAAAAAAACAGATCTACAACTGTCCAATAAGGCAGAGGGCACTTGAGACCTGATGCATGTAAAACAAGTTTACAAACTGTGTTGCACTATATGAGTAAGTTATTGCTCAGTGACTAACCACAGAGCAGAGAGCACGGTACACCATGTGTGGCCATTAATGTCATTTCCTTCTACTCCCATTCCTTTCTGCAGCAGAGAAATGGATCTTTTTGCACATGGAACAGTTACATTATTAAATTATATAATATTAGCTGAAAACCTGACTTTCAGCAAGGGAGTAGTACAGAAATTTGGGGATTATGAACTAATGAATAAAATAAAGCAATTATATCTTTAGTATAAAAATTTATCATCACCAAATAAAAATTAAAAAAACAAATAAAAATAAAAATGTATCATCAGGTAATTCAGACTCACGGCAATGTGTGGT